TCCACACACATAGAGAGAGAGAAAGCAGGAGAGAGAGAGAGAGAGAGAGAGAGAGAGAGAGAGCAGGAGATGGAGCAGGAGAGAGACAGAGAGAGAGACAGAGAGAGAACATAAAGACAGAAAAGGGCCCAGGAAAGTATCTTGTCAAGATCATATTTAATTCAATAAATATATATTAAGTACCTACCATGTAGAGCAATGCTAGGGACTTCAGGGATATTTGATATTCTCTTAAACATGCTCTTTGCTTTCTTCATCTACAGAACAATAGCAGCTAACATATACATCTATCTATATGTGTGTGTGTGTGTGTGTATAAAACACATATATGTAAGGTTTGCCAAGTGCTTTTCATGTATTATTTCATCCGATCCTCACAACAACCCTGTGAAATAAGTGCTATTATTAAGTTCATTTTGTTGTTGTTATTGTTGAGTTGTTTCAGTCATGTCTGACTTGGCTAGATACTGGAGTGGTTTGCCATTTCCTTTTCCAGCTTATTTTACAGATGAGGAAACTGGGTTAAGTGATTTGCCCAGGGACACACAGCTAGTAAGTGTCTAAGGCCACATTTGAATTCAGGTCTTCCTGAGAGCAGGCCTAGATGCTGTATCCACTGTGGCACCTAGCTATCCTTGTGCCCATTTTTCAGACAAAGAAACTGAGGTCCAGAAAGTTTAAGTGACTTAGCCAAAAGTCACAGAACTCATTAGTGGCAGAACTGAATCCAGAACCCAGCTCTCTTGATTTCAGACCTCTTTCTACCATTACCTGGTTCTCAAATCAATTGAGCCACCTTATAATGGAACACAGAACTCATTAGGAGGGATTCCTAAGACACTCAGGATATGACATTGGAGCTTTCAAAGGTAAGAGGCACAGACAAAATACTTGTTTTGTTTATTCTGCTCCACTTAAGTCAAGAACTAAGAGTCCAGATACTTTTTTAAATGGCCCTAAATGGCTCTCTGGAACTTGCTCAGGGCTATCAGGACCTTTGGGAAATAAGTCAAATTTCTGGAGATGGAACATAAAGATATTTCAAACACATCATCAACTCTGTTCTATTTAGGGTAATGAAAGAAAAGTTTTGGCAAATTTGTCCCCTAATGAATAATCAATGTAACATTGTAAGCCCTCAACTTAATTCAATAATCATTTATTAAGGGTCTACTAAAAAGGTATTAAATTAAACTAATATATACACATATAAAATACATACACCAATGTGTATATATACATACCATAATATTTAAGATGTATGTAAACTTTTAACAAAAAAAGACACTTGTTTAAATGTTTAGTTGTTCAGCAGAACACATTATAATTAGCATGCAATATAAACACATAAATAGGGATCCTCTTTGCTCCTCCCACTTGGAAAATGTGCCTAATATAACTCCTAAAAACATTTCAAAATGATTCATTAAAATGTCTCCATCTCATTCTTTCCTAATCCTGCTCCCAATGAAGGTATGTTACCATTAGCCAAAAAGCTCAAGGGCAGAAATATAGAAGCTATGAACAGACAGAACATCCTTCCCCAGAATAATCAAGACCAGTTTGACCTTTTATATGGCACATACCATAAAAGATCACCTTTGGATGAAAAAAAAAAAGAGCCTTCTTTTTAGCCAAAAGTCTAGTGCAGAACATTGCCAGTGACATGGTCTGCCAATAATAAGCGTTCATCTTGTCTGTATGTCTCTTAAAGTCTGAACCTTACTTCTCTTGTCTATAAAATTATGGGGTTGGACTAGATGAGGCAGATTCTTAACCAGGGCTCTATGACCTTTAAATATTTTTTACAACTATTTCAATATAACAGGTTTCCTTTGTAATTCTTATCTTATTTTATGCATTGTAATCCTGTATCATATTACACACATTTTAAATGCATATATTAGCATCTTTTGTAATGGAAGAGGACCAAAATGACATCACTATGTCAAGGTCAACGTACAGTGTCAGACTGAGGCCGATCAAACCAATACGAGCTTGGAAGGTCAGGCACAAGTACTCGGTATGAACATTTGGTAAGGAGATGTCTCTAACTATGCGCATCTCACATTTCTTTTGAGCTACTGCAATTCTGCTTTGCTCACAAAGCACAGCACCTTCTTTGATACTGGCACACCATGCTGGACAGTCCTATGCCAGCATCTCCCATGTCTCACAATCGACAGCAGCGTTCTTCAGAGAGACCTTGAGAGTGTCCTTGGATGAAAAAGTCCATACATTTCACCAGAATGCCAATGAGGTCTGTGGCACAAACAGGGTTAACCACTGAATAACTGATTTCTAAGATTCCTTCTAGTAGCTCACTTGGTTTTCAATGGCTTTAAATCAGAGTTTCTTAATTCTTTTGTGTTATGGACCCCTTTTGGCAGACTGATGAAGCCTGTGGACCCCTTCTCAAAATAATATTTTAAATGCATAAAATAAGATACACAGGATTATAAAATGAACCAATCATACTGAAGGACGGTTATCAAAATGTCTTAAAAAATATGTTCAAGGACCTCAGGTTAAGAAAACCCTTAAATTGTTCCACATTGGGCAGTATTCCCGTGTCTGGCAAGTTGGCTACACAATAAGAAGGACCCTAGACTTTAAATCTGGCACAGTTCTTAGAGATGATCTAGTCTAGCTCCCATTTCACAGATGAGGAAACTGAGATTAACGTGTCCAGATGTGCACTAACATTGAGTAGCTGAAATAAGATTTGAACTCAGACTCACAGGCTCACATTCACTCATTCTTTTCACTATACCTTGCTACATACTCAATACTACTGTCACCAAATCATAGACTATTAGAGTTAGAATGAACTTTTAGAGATCATTTGGTACAACCTTCTCATATTAAAGATGAGAAAATTAAGGGCAAGTAATTTGTCCAAGGTCATAGTGTCAGAGGTGATTCCAAACCCTATAGCCTTCCCAACTCCTCTACAGGAATTTAGGGAGAATCTTCACTAACAAAATCCCATATTTACTAAAAATCCAATATAAAAGATGAACTCTCCTGTCTTATTTTTTTAAATTAACTTTAAGAAACAAAATACAAAGAATAAGAGAACATACAATATTCTAGAGGTTGCTAGACAAAGGAGATCCACCATTTTTACCTACAATCAGCAAATAGAACATGGGTGGTGATTATCTCTAAAATGAACCAGCCATTTCATATGGCTATGTAAAACACACTTTTGAAATAACCTAATACTTTTTTCCTTTGCAAATTATACAGAGATGTACTCTTTTGGGGGTGGTGGGGGGAAGAGAAGGAAATCAGATTATGATTTCATTGATGCAGGGGTATCCCAATGAGGACATTTTCTCTAACAATGCAGTTTGGCTCCTGCTTTGCAATTAATAACAACAAAAACTAGCTTTTAAAACTTACAAAGTGCTTTACATATGTTACCTCATTTCATCCTCACAACAACCCTATGAGGTAGATGCTATTATCCTTGTTTTACAGGTAAGTAAACTGAGGCTGAGAGATTAAGACTTGCCCAGGGTCACAAAGGTAGCAAATGTCTGAGGCAAGATTGGAACCCAGATCTTCCTGACTCCAAGTCCAGCACGCTACAAAAGTACCACATAGCCTGCCTCTAATAGACATAGATTGTCTCAGGTTGGAGGCAGAGAGGTTAAAGGATAGTCCAGAGTCTCCCAGTCAGTATTTGTCAGAGACAGAACTTGGATACTGAGGTTGCTCTGTCTACATGGTCTCATGATGACACACATACATCATGCATTATAGCTCTTACACACTAACTTTTAAAACTGAAAGCCATCACAAGAAAGATCTTCCTGGTATGGAACTAAATGGAATTAAAACAGATGCATACTTAGAACATCCCCTACCTCCAATACTCCCCTACCCCCATCACCAACGTCAGGACATTCAGTGGATTTCAAAGAGAAAAAGTAATTTACGCGGAATCACACAGCTAAGCAAACGTCTGAGGCAAGATTGGAACTCAGGTCTTCCTGACTCCAGATCCAACACTCTACCCACTGCACCACCCAGCCTGCATCTAATAGACACAGAGGATCTCAGGCTGGAGTCAGAAAGAAGGAAAGGGATTTCCCCAGGGTCTCCCACTGAATATCTGTCAAAGGCAACACCTGAATACAGACCTCCCCTCCCACCATCGAATATATTCTCAAAGTTCTGATTAAACCCGCTACATGATTACTTTCTTAAACGCCGGTGAAGAAAAATGATTGGAATGTCATTGAGTTATTTGCCACTGCCCTCCTTTCCTATGGAATAATTGTACCAAAAGTGGTCCTCTGCTCCATCTCGGGAGAACCTCTTAAATGGAGGCCGCACCCCGTATGCAAGACTGTTCCTTTTCACTATTCCTTCTCGTCCTAATATCCAGGACTTCGTTCCTCACTCGCCACCCTACAACTCCCCACCCTCTCCCCTGGAGACCGAGGCCTGGGGAAGGTGAGGTGTCTCAGGCTCTAAAAAAAGCTGTGTAGGTGTCCCCTAAGGACACACCCTGGACCATTCCACTGTTGCGACCCTCTCTCCCTGAGCAGCAGGCCAAAGTGAGAGAGAGAGGAGAAGGAGAAGAGAGACAAGAGCAGACGGCTGCATCTCCCCTTCTCTCTTCTTCCTCCCTGGAGGCCAGGCCTCCCCAGCACCTGGCCGACGGCGCTGGGGTGGGGAGGAGGAAGGTGGGCCAAGAGGGTGCAGCAGGTAACTCAGCTTGGTAGGGGGAGGGGAGGGGAAAGGGCTACGTGAGCAGCTGGAGTAAGGAAAGCCAGCACCGTGGGACTTGGCAATCGGCAAATAAAGCCGCTCGCTCCTCCTCCCGCCCGGTCCCTGCAGAGGGCTGCTCCGCGTCCTCTTCCCGAGGGGCACCGGCCGGCAGAAGGAGGAGGGGGCGGGGTAGAAATCCCGGGCGGGCTTCCCCTGCAGCCGGGGCTCTCCCACCCCCGACCCTCGCTCCCGGTCCTGCCCGGAGCTTTCTTTACCTGCACACCGTGATCAGATTCCTTCTCTCCACTGCGGCATTGCGGGCGTTCAGGCTCTTCTTGGTGCTGCTGCTGCTGCTGCTGCTGCCGCCGCCACGGTTCACGCTCAGCCCCCCCAGGCTCAGAGAAGCCATCGCCAGCTGCTCCCCCGCGCCCCCTTTGTCTCGTGTAGCCCCCTCCCTGTCCCTTACCCCCAGCGCCGCTGGGCCGGTCTCAGCCAGCTAGGGACGTGAGGGTTGGGGGGAGAGGTAGGAGGAGGTGCGAGCCTTCGGGGAAGGGAGGCCGGCGTCTGGAAGAGGCGAGGGCCGAGTCGGCCTCCGGGCTGCAGCCTCTCCTGCCGCGGCCGCTGCCAACGCCTCGCAGCGCTACGCCCCCTCCTCCACACACGCACCACCCCCGCCCTCGAGTGCGCCCCCCCAGACCCGAGTGGCTAGCCGCCCGACAGGTCTGCGCCCAGCTCGTGGCTGGACACCGGTAACCCGCAGGTTCTCACGCACCCGTGAACATTTCTCTCCCTCGTCCTCCTTTTCTTTTCTCCTCTCCTCCCTCTCCTCTTTCTCCTCTTCTTCCTTCCCCTCTCCGCCACCTCCTCCTCCCTCTGCTGGGCCCCGTGGATGCGAGCCTAGGCGCAGCAGAGGGAACCGCTCACACACGCACAGTTCACACACCCCACACCGCCCCCTCTCTCCTTCCCTCCTCCCTTCAACCACCCACCCACCCGACCATCCATCCATCCATCCATCCATCCATCCATCCATCCATCCAATCCACCCCTTTAGCCAATCAGAAGGCCCAGAAGGCGGGGCTCGCCTCTGGGACTTTTAACCAGGCGTGTTCTGAGCTACTCCGGCTCACCCGTAGCTGTCAAAGCGCGGTGCTCCAGCCTAGCTGGCCCTGCCCTAGAATCCAGAAGCAAAAAAGAGAGGAGGGAGAAGGATGGCAGACCTAGGCTGCTGTTGTACTTGGAATTCTGGACTTCAGCCTTGGTCCAGCTGCCTGGGAAGAAGCCACCCGGAGCAAAACCACTGGAGTTCCCGAATGATTAGGGGAGGCTGGTTAGGGTACGTGGCTAAAGAGAACAATGCCCCCGAGGACCGCTGTATTAGCCGCTGTTTTCCTGGGGCCTTTTGATGGCTGCAGATCCTGTGGGACACAAACATAACACGCATTTACTGAAAGCCACCACCACCACCACCACCACCATCATCATCATCCTCATCCCTTACATTGTTCTCCCTGGCTCTGGAAGGCAGAGAACCTTGGGAGTGACCTTGGAGAAGTTCCCTGGGCCTCAGTATCTTCATCTGTAGAATGAAGGGGACTGGATTACATAGCCTCTGAGGGCCCTTTCAGCACTAGAGTTAAGATTCTGTGATCCATTCACATAAGTGTTCTCATTAAATATTCATTCATTCAATAAACATTTATTAAGCATTTATATCAGGTGCTAGGCTAGCCTCCGAGGTAGATAGAAGCTGAGATGGCACAAAGGCTGTCTCATGCCCTCATGGAGATCTTGGTCTAATAAAAGGTATATGACTCAAACTCAGATACCTTTAACAGGCATTAGTATATGAGAAGTGCACGCATTAAACAAGACATCCTAACAAGATGGGTAGAGAGCTGACCTTAGAGTGAGGAAGCTCTGGGTTCAAATTACTCCTCTTCCATATATTGGCAAGTCACTTGCCCTCCCAGTACAACAAGTAACACTCTATGACTACAAATTGTAGAGAAGGTGCCAAGTTGCATTGGTAAAGGTCAGTACAGGGATGAAATCATAGGCTAAAAAAAAGTACACTACAGAATTGCAAAACAAAGGACCACGAAGCTGGAAGGATCCTGGGATTTGGCACCAGAAGGTTGTGTCACTACCTCTTCTACTTATTACCTGTGTGACCTTGAGCAATAATGGATTTAATTTCTCTAGGCTTCATTTTTCTCATCTGTGAAATGAGAGAATTGTACTAGATCAGGGGTTCTTAACCTTTTTTGTGTCATGGACTCCTTCAACAGGCTAATGAAAATTAAGGATCCCTTTTCAGTTAGTTGGTGAATCTCTATCCCTTTTCGACAGTGTATGGAACTGGATCTGAAATAAGGAAACCCTTCAGCTTCAGACACTAGCTGTGTGATCCTGAGCGAGTCATTTAACTTCTGGTTGCCTTAGTTTCTTCATCAGTAACATTGGAATAATAATAGCACCAACTTTCCAGGGTTATTGTGAGGATAAGATGAGAAAATATTTATAAATATATATTTATTTACATTCATAAAGTATTTGAAAATTTTAAAGTGCTTTGCATTTATTTATACTTATGTATGTTTATAGATTTATAAAGTGCTGTATATTTATATAGCTACAACAAATGATAGCTTTTATTCTTCTCAGAACTTTTTTGAATTCTTTTTTTTAATTTATTTTGAGTAATCAACAATCACTTCCATAAGTTTTTGAGTGTTAAATTTTTCTCCTTCTCCCTCTCCACCTCCCTCCCCGACACTGTGTGCAATCTGATATAGGCTATACATATACATTCCTATTAAACATATTTTCACATTAGTCATGTTGTAAGGAAGAATTAGAACCAATAGGAGGAACCACAAAAAAGAGGAAACAAAACAAAAGAAAGAAAAAAGGGCAAATAGTATGCTTCAGAAGAACATTTTAAAGGCATAAAATAGGTAAGACTACAAAGTATGTCAATTATATTGGAATAGATGTCATTTTCTCCAGGGTAGCTAGGTGGAGCAGTGGATAGAGCTCTGGCCTTAGAGTCAGGAGGATGTGAGTTCAAATCCAGTCTCAGACATATGACACTAGCTGTGTGACCCTGGGCAAGTCACTTAACCCCAGTTGCCTTAGCTTAAAAAAAAGTCATTTTTTCCATATAAGTTCATGAACCCCTGAAATCTATGCATTGATCACTTGGGGGGTCCATTACTTAAGAGGGTTCCAGCTCAAGAACCCCTGAAATGAACACCAAGGTTCCCTACAGCTATAAATTATGTATTTCTGTGATGAAGTTATTTTGAAAGACATTTAAAGGATACATTGGAGCAGAGTGGCAGTAGGAAAATGCATAAATAAGCCTTTGTCATAGTCCCAGGTTGGTGATGATGGAGACCTATACTAGGGTTGTAGCTGTGCAGGAAAAGAAAATGCAAGAGAGGCTGAAGAGGTATATATTCAAGAGGATTTAGTATCCAGAAAGGGAAAAGGAAGCACCAAAAATAGGCTTCAAGTTTTGAACATGGGAGTTTGGGTAAATGTATCCTAAGAGGTGGCTCAAACATTATCATCCTCGTTTTATAAATTAAAACAACTACAACAAACTGAGCTTGTAGTGACAGTGTGCTGTGGTAGACAAAGTGAGGAATGTGGAGCCCAAGGACCAGCATTCTCTCCCATTTCCCTTAAATTTGGCCTCAACCTAATCCCATCTCTCCCTTTGACCATCTCCAAAACTTCCAGAGACATCTATGTTTCCTGGACTATTTGACTTTATTTTAGTTAGTACTCTCTCTACAGAAGCAAGTCTCAGTGCCTCCACATTTTAATCAGTGTTTTGATATGAGTATCTGTAACCCAAAACACTTTAGCATCTGGTAGTCAATGTCTCCAAAACTAGCTAGCCGGTGAGTCTAATAAACATATATTAAAGACTTACTATATGCCTGGCACTATGTCAAGGGCTGGGAAAAAAAAGAAAGGCAAAATAACAAACAAACAAAAAAACCATGGCAATCACATTCTGATGGGGGGAGACAACATGCAAACCATATACATATAAAACACAGAGAGAGTAAATGGAAGCTAATTTCAGATGGAAAGCGTTTAGCAGTAAGACCAAAGTTGCTTGCTGTATTCCTGACATCATGTTGTCTTTCAGCCTTTTCAGTTGTATCCAATTCTTCATGACCCCATTTGGGGTTTTCTTGGCGTTGGCAAAGGAATGGTTTGCCATTTCCTTCTCCAGCTCATTTTATAGATTAGGAAACTGAGGCAAACAGGGTCAAGCCTTTCTAGCACAGTAGAACTTGCCCGAGCTTTCACTGATGGCGAACAAAGGGTTACCTTCACGTCACAGTGAGGCACTGGAATGAGACTTTATTGGGGCATTTTCATTAATCATTTCATACTATAGTCCTTGTTATCAAAGTTCTATGACTGGTAGGTTATTTCTACTTCTGCTTATAAATTTTCTTATAAGGGAGTTAGTCATCGAAATGACCTTAACTTTGTCTCTTAATAAAAGTATAGTTGTAATTCTAGAGTTATCTCTATGCCAGGGGTTGGCAGGGGATCTGTGGATAGATTTCAGGGGGTGCATGAACTTGGATGGGAAAAAAATTACATCTCTACTAATTATCTGTTTATTTTTTATTAATTATTTTAATTATTTCTTCGCTTGTTTTTTAAGTTGCATCTTTCTTAACTCCTGTCTGCTTCAGTTTCTTCTTCAGTTTCTTCTTCTGTAAAATTGAGATGATGATGGCTTTTACCTCCCAGGGTTATTGTAAAGTACTTTGCTTTAAAGTGCTATATAACGCTAGCTATTATTATAATAGTTTTAATAATAGTTTTAAAAACATAAAACAAAATAGGTATGATTACAAGTGCCAATTATATTGGAATAAAGATGTAATTTTTTTCTTTAAACAAATTTCAGTATTTCCTTCAATTACTTAAATATATGGTTCTGAGAAGCAATCCATAGTTTTCACCAGACTACCAAAAGGGTCCACGACAAGGAAAAATCCCTACTCCATGCCTTCTTTCCCAAGTTTGTTATCAATTACAAGAAAACCTATAGAAAATATTTTTGCCAACTGAAGTCAATTGTGATGAAATAATTTGAAATCTTGAGTGTTCTTCCCATCAACTTTTCATTCATATGCTATACAATGACAGTATGGCTTAGGCAAAGAAAGCTAACATCAGAGTTCCAGTCCTTCCACTGACACATTATGTGCTAGTCATTATTCAGTAATTTCAGTCATGTTTAACTCTTCCTGACCCCATTTGAGGTTTTCTTGGCAAATATACTGGAGTAGTCTGCCTTTCCTTCTCCAGCTCATTTTACAGATGAAGGAACTAAGGCCAACAGAGTTAAGTGACATGCCCAAGGTC